CTAAAGCTTAAATTTCTATTTGCTCAAGAAAAACTACCAAACAATACATTATCATCAAAAGTCAACCCAAGAAGGGCACAGATGCTAGAGACCAATAAGGAACCAAGAGGGACAAGTTTAAGCTGTGGCCATGGTGGCTGAGTAGCTGAAAGTCACTTGCTCTTTATACACAAACATGCTAGACTGAAAGCAAAGCCCAACTCCTACCTTTAAGCACTGTAGGAAGAAGAGAATGTGGAAACAAATCTGTAAGATAACTTCTGTAGTAATTTCTTCATAGTCATTTAATAATGCTAGCTCACATTCTACAGTCTGTTGCAAGAAAGGAAATCTTCTACACAGGCATGAAAGCTGAAAATACCATGCCAAGTGAAATAATTCCTACCCTACAGTCGCAGAAATAACAGTCATGTGGTAACTAGATTTTTTCCCTCTACATATAATTAATTATCACAAAAGTTGTGATAAATTAATGTAAAATCTTTTAAATCCAATATATTTGGGTTTCGCAAAACTAACAGTACAGAAAATAAGAAAACTACTGCTAAAATAAGAAAACACAAAAAAATGAACAGAGCAGTACTTTCTTTTACGAATTTTTAAAATATCTGATGAGCATGTGCAGGCCAAGTATGAAAAATTTAAGAAAGTCTAAAGAATGAGTTTGTAACGAATGTTAGTGAATGCGCAACATCACACACATGGACCCTGGGTTAATGCACAGTGTATTTCCCTTGATTTTTGACATGTTGAAACTTTGGTAGAGACTTTCTGGTTTTTTCTGTTTGTTTGTTTGTTTGTTTGTTTGTTTGTTTGTTTGTTTGTTTGACACACTCCAACCACTCTTGTATTTCTTTTTTATTGGTATGCATTAATTATAATCTATTGGGTTTCATTTTGACATGTGAGTGTATGTGAATAATGTATTCTGATCATAATCTTCCCTGTTACTATTTCTGGTCACTCTCGCCTCCCCACTAGTCCTTCCCTCTTACCAAACGGTCACTCTTCTACTTTCACATTTATAGCATAGACTTGCATATCAGAGGAAATATTCTGGGTCTCAATTATTCCACTAAGTAACTTGAAGAGCTCCAGTTCCACCCACTTTCTTTAAAACATCACATTTTTCTTTTTCTTAATGGATAAATAATACTCCATTAAATATCACATTTGTCTTTATCCATTCATCTGTCAGTGGGTACCTCGAATGTATCTGGAACCTGGCTACAGTCATAATGCCATGGGGTGTACATATAAAGACTTTGATCCTTTCTGGTATAAGTCTGAGTATAGTATAGCCAGGCCATATGGTGCTTCTAGGTTTAGTTTTGAGGTACATTCATACTGATTTCTCTTTTGGCTGCAGATTTACACCAGCAGTATTTATTGTTTCTATTTTCCTGCATCCTCACCAGAATTGTGTGTGTGTGTGTGTGTGTGTGTGTGTGTGTGTGTGTGTGTGTGTGTTTCCAGTTTATAAAAAGGTTTTTAATGAAAAAGACATTATGGGTGGCACAGAAAATAACACTTAACCTATGTGAAGCAGTAGGCATTAGGTAATTATTAAAGCAAACATTATCTGGACCTTTATTTGGGGTGGGGTCCAAAAGGAGGTTGATGGGTCTTCTTCCTCTACCATCATCTCTCCCTGTCTCTTCTCATACTATAGGGTATGATAGAGGCTTTCTTAATGGATGGATTCTCAAAAAGATGGCAGCATAAATGCAAACCAAAAAAAAAAAGGCATTCTTTGTTAAGTTTCACTAACGTTATATATTATACTGATGTTCTTGTTATATAAAACTGAAGCTTTGCATAACTTCTAATCACAAAGTTATTGCAGTTTTTGTAATTATTGAATGGGACAATATTTCATGTGAGTGTGTGAGTGTGTGTGTGAGTTTGTGTGTGAGTTTAGAACATGGCTAGCATGCAACTAGCTTTCTATTAGAATGTATTCAAAATTATTCACTTTAAAAATCTGTGAAATTAATCACTAAAAATCATTTGTTATTTGTGGTCATTCGGATATTTAATTTTAATATGAAACAGAACATAATATTCGTTACATTCTAAGATTTATTGCATATTCCTAGAAATTTGATTTTTAATAGATATTTCAGAGACTTCTATGAGAAATTTGAAATTCAAATATTTTTCCATCTTACAAAATCAGATGGAATCAGATGGGCATGGGAACTTGAGAGATCAGGTTCCGGGACGGATGGAGGGGGAGAGTACTGAAAGAGATGACTGGAAAGGGGGACATTTTGGGGTCAGGAAGAAACCTGGCTCGAGGGAAACTCCCACAAATCTACAAAGATGAGCCCTGCTAAGACTCCTAGCAGTAGTGGATAGGTAGCCTGAACTGGGCATCTCCTGTGATCAGATTGTTAACTACCCCAATCGTTATCAATGAGCCTTCATCCAGTAGCTGATGGAAACAGATGCAGAGATCCACAGCCAAGCCCTGGGCTGAGCTCAGAGAATCCTACTGAGGAGAAGGAGGGAGGACTGTAGGAGCCAGAGGGGGCAAGGTCATCACAAGACAACACACAGAAAAAATTAAACTGTATCATGCAAACTCACAGAGTCTCAACCGACAACCAGGGAATCTGCACGTGACCAACTCAGGCCCTTGACATATATGTGAAAGTTGTGTAACTTGGTCTCCTTGTGGGACTCCTAACTATGGGAGCAGGGACTGCCCCTAATGTTTTGGTTGACTCTTGAGGACCTATTCCTCTTATTGGATTGCCTTATCCAGCCTTAGTAAGAGGAGAGGTGCTTAGTCTTATGGCAACTTAATATGCCATGCTTTGCTGATACCCATGGGAGGCCTGCCCCTTTCTGAATGGAAACGGAAGAGGAATGGATTGAGGGGGAGGGGAGGGAAAAGGAGGAGAGAAGGGAGGGAAAACTAAGGTTGGGCTGTAAAATAAATAAATACATTTAAAAAAAGAAATGTAAAAATAATTAATGACTTAAAAAACCAAGTAGAAACACTGTGGGAACATATTTATACTTATAGAGAAGGGATGCTTTATTCTCTGAATCAAGCTCAATTCAAACTTTTATGTTTTGCTTCCTCTAGTGAAAAAGCTATTCTGCTAAATTAATTGCCAGTTCATTAGGAGCTAAATGTGATGATATATACATTAAAAAATAAATGTTTCAGATTTTATAAATTAATCTAAATTTTTCCAGATATACTTTCATTCATACCCAGAACACCACCCAGTGCCCCCCACTACACACACACACACACACACACACACACACACACACAAGCACACAAACCATACCACAGACACAAACTATACCACAGACACAGAAGGCAATACACAATAAAACCTTGCTAAATATTATCCTCTGGAAATGTTTCATGATATTATAATTTAAATGCAAAATAATTTTCTTTGAAATGGGGTAAAAATGTCCTATAAAAGATGTTCTCTATATAATCAAATAAATAGAATATTTCAATTAATGATGATGGGATATATAGTGTCTAATTATGTACTCAGATTTAAGATTTTTTATGTTTTTGAAGATATATTATTACTATTATATTTTTCCTACCCAAAGATGTCTTATGGGAACTTTATTAATTTTAATATTTAGTCATCATACATATAATGATATATTCATAACTGTTAAATATTTCTATGTATAAATAAGTACATATACTTCTCTCCCTGTGTGTATAAATTATCTGCCTTCTTTAGAGCTATAATGGAGAAATATTTCACTTATTTCAATTTGCAATATCCTCATTTTTCCCTGTGATATGTATTTCTCACTTTGCTTTTGGGATTTGCTGAAAATATGAGCTGCTAAAACCTGAAGAAAACATTAATTAAATTCAATATAAATGCTAATAGTAATTTTAATAAGCACTTACTTTCATTTTAAGGCAAAATCCAATAGAGAACTATCTTGTAATTTGTCTGGTCTACATGTCGGTAGTCGCTCTAGTGCGGCTCTCATGGCTCTAAACAAAGGTGACTGTGCCCCTCCTCATTTTTCATTGTATTCTTCTTTAACCTTTAAATTTCAGGTGAGACCGCTTCTGTGTAGAAATTAGTAACCAAACCTTGCACTCATTGTACTGCTATTAACCTTTACAAATAGATCTGTTCTTCTTGTGTGAGACAGTAACAATACAGTTCAGATTGTGTTATGAAATGCCTCAATAAAATACAGTTTACTGACTTTAAACAAAATCTTCAAGCTAATAAAAGGAAATGGAAAAGTATTAATAGGACCAATGATAAAGGAAAATAAATAGAATTTTGAGTCGGCAACCAGTTCTCTCATGATTCCCTTGAAAGTTTGAACCATGCCAAATGAAAATAAATCTAATAATTGCTTCAAGGATATGTACATGTATAGGGATGTTTAAAATTTTATAACAGGTATCACACATTTAGTGTTATGTCTCCAGATTTCAGTTAAGTAACAAATGTTTCTGTCTCACAGATCTGTGTCTGGGGCTCTGAAGTACACAAAAGCACATAGAACACAGCTGCCTAGGCATCATGACCGGGCAGAATCGAACAAACTGCTTTCATTTTTTTCATTGTAATGATGACAGGCCATCCCAAAGTACAATGGTAAATATCCATACAGCTTTGTTGTTTTCCCAAAATATCTGCACTGTAGAGATCCCATACAGTCTATTGTATCAAAATTCAGTTCCCTCAACCAAGAGTACAAACAAACACACATAACTTGTGAAATGAGGAGAAAAGTTTCTCTCCATATAAGTATTAGACTGTATCTATATCTAACTGAAATATACTAGCCAAAGAAGTTGTAAGTGAAATAATATTTTTTTTGTTAATTTTAACAAAATGTGGACTATTTAAGAGAATGTTTTAGAAATATTGTCAAAAAGTTCACTCATCCAGACTTGTGAGAATTTGCAATACATCCCTGAAAATATTTTGAACTATTGGGTTGCCAGCTTAAAAAAAAAATCAATGGATATGGTCTATTTACCTTATTACCATATTTATTGTTAAAGAAAGTAGGAGAAAAAAGAAAACAGCCCACATTTTAGCATAGTAGGCACATAAATTCTCAGTATTAATTTAATTTACAGATTTATAGAAGTCTTTAGTTATTTATAAGGAAAAGAATACACTATCTTCACCTGGAGTATGTGGCTGAAATACCAATGATGTTTATACAGGACTGAGGGAGTGTAAAAACAGTAAGTAAAAGTAAGTGACAGCTGGAGAAGTCGCTATATAATGTGCTTACATCTCTCTATACAAGTACATTCTGCACGCGCCATGACTGTCTAAGTCTTTATACAGCATTAGAGCATATTAACCAACCATTTGGTGAGTCAAAAAGCAAATATTAATATATGATATATCTCTTCTGAAAAGTGCTCTTACAGTGATAAATTTGTATGAGAATGTTATTAGAGTCAAATATGATTTTTGTGACTGAAATGAAAAAAATTCTAATTCTGTTATTTCAAGGAATCACAATAATGGTAAGATTTCTACTCCATCTGAAAAAAAAAAACTAGCAAAAGTTCTACCATCAACATAATCACAGCAGAAAGATCTTTTCTTATTACTTGTGGAAAACTATTTAGAACTATTTTTACATTTGTACATATTTATAATAATGAAACTTATAGAGAATAAAGGGGCATGGTATAAGTTTAATCTATTCATTTTCTTTTTTTTTTTTTTTTTTTTTTGGTTTTTTGAGACAGAGTTTCTCTGTGTAGCTTTGCACCTTTCCTGGAACTCACTTGGTAGCCCAGGCTGGCCTCGAACTCACAGAGATCCGCCTGGCTCTGCCTCCCGAGTGCTGGGATTAAAGGCGTGCGCCACCACCGCCCGGCTTAATCTATTCATTTTCATTTTTTAATTATGTGGAATGAGGTATGTGCACACATATTTGAGGGTACCCATGGAGTCCTGCAAGGAGTGTCAGATCTGGAGCTGAGGTCACAGGCACTTGTGAGCCATTGTCTGGGTGCTGGGAACTGAAATCAAGTCCTCCGCAAGAGGAATATGTACTGATAACCTTTAGGCTCTCTTCAGCCACCCTAAATTTTTCTTAATGCATTGGCCACACACACCACAGAAAGCATCTTAACAACTTTTCTTCAAATATTACAGTCTTTCACACACAGCTGCAACTTTCCCTAAGTTTTTCTCGAGATTTTTCAATGTATAAGTATTTAAGAAAACAGGTATCTTTTATTTCATTGTGTGGATGATATTCACACTTTAAAATTATTTAGATAATAAAGAAGATGTGACTGGAAGGGAATTAACAAAATACATTTATTGGCTCATGTAATAATTTTATTAAGGTTTATGAATTACTTTTCGTGAGGAAGTTTTTAATGTCAAGGCTGTCTTTATAGCGAATTCTGTTAATAAGATGCAGCTGTGACCCTGGTATTAATACAATCATGCAAAGCACATAGTAGAATCAACCACACTAGAAAAGAAAATCAAAAAGTTGAATGAGGCAAAAGAACAGCAGGTATATTTTTGTTTGAGTTTGCTTATTTCAGAAGATGCCCCTTTTATTGATTTTGTGAACAGACCTCTTTTGCACTATATATACTCAAATACTGTACAAAATTGCAAGAAATGCCACTATTTGACTACTTAGTTTTCTACAAAAACATCATCATGAAGTTGCGTTTAATTTTAAAAGTCAACTAATAACTGCTAATGTACGTGTCAGTCAAAGGTAATTTGGTTTTGACAAAAACACACTGTTAACTTTAGCATGTTCCAGGGGAATAAATAATGTCTTTAAGTACTAAAAGAAAAAAATGAATTTTAACTATTAATAATCAGTAGTTATATAAAATTGAAAATCATGTTTTCTAATTTAGCTACATGGTGTGTGTGTGTGTGTGTGTGTGTGTGTGTGTGTGTGTGTGTGTGTGTGTGTGTAACATAATCCATAATCTGTCAATGATGTTTTAAAGTTGTGGTTTAAAAATGTTCAACTCTTACCAAAACCTCTTCTGGTATACAAAGCTGCTGTAAATTCGAGTCAATGAAATTTAAAGTTGCAATTTACAAAAGCAGATTTATATTAATTCTTACCTGAAAGAGCTGCTTTCCAGACAGAAAAATGTGCCAACTAACTGCCCTTTCCTTTATAATTAGTGGCTTCTGATTCCTGATGAGAAGAAGCCTTAAGGCAGAATTTGCAGTAAACAGGAAAGAAGAGAATCATATAAGTGCTCATCTGTACCTAGGACACCTATGAATTCTCATCGCTTGGAGTTTTTGGCACAGCTTTCTAGTCTGACATGAATGAACTTTGTTCCACCGCAGTCAAGATGGCTGCTTTCTTCCACTCTCCAGCACCAGAAAAAGTCAGCTGACAACATGTGCCTCGAAAACTAAGTCCATTTATCTTCATTTTTATACTGTTAGGTAGTTCCCAATGATTGTAGTGAGCTGTAAGATTCAGTTTACCACATTCAAATAAACTCTCAAGCTAAAAATAGAATGACCGTGACATTCCAATAGTTCTTAAATGTAAGCATAATCAACATCCTGTCATGGTGACTCATAGCTATTTGAGCTTGTCATGCTTGTAATATGTACATGGCTATAGATAGTCTACATAGTAATTAAAGGCTGTTTTCACATCTCTAGCTTCTCCATATGTGTGTCAAGCTTCCCATTACACTAGCAGGGCTTCTGAACTCTCCTGGAGGGAGCAGATTAGACTTTCAGAGATTCAGATATGCAGAACTCATATTTGAGAAACAATGTTAAATTCTGATCATCCTTAGGTAACAGTAGACTTTTTTTAGTGTAATATCTAAATCAAAGGTTTTGCAAAGGGTGACAGAGGATTCTCAACTTTCATCATAATTAGAACACTAGGAAATAAATTCGTGATCTGAAATCCACTTTAAACTAGGTCCTCAGGTAAATCTTTTTAAAAGGCAATGGCTCTTGGCACGGGATGTTTTCTGCCTGTATTTCCATGAGTTAGCAAATGCAGGTCCCCTTTAGAGGTCTACTGGTAAGCTCTACCACTATATACATACTGTACATATTGGGACATAAATTAGCAGTTATTAGTAAGACTGTACATAGCAAAATAAACCAAGTGTAATGTTGCTATAGCCAAAAGGTAACCAATGTCTAGACTCATGGACTGACCCCTAATACAGGCTCCCTGTTTAAATAGGTAGCCCAATAAACTAAATTAAATGTACCAAACAGAACTGGGAAAACTATTCTAGACATTCTGTCAATTTTGCTGACGCTGTTGAAGGTTTTCTTGGCTTCAGCTGGCTTGTTCTCTGGCTTCTTGTTGGGTTCTGGTGTCGTTGCACTTTTAGAGATGGTGGAGAGAACAGGATCTTTGGAAAGATTGGGGGCGTAGTTGGCAACAGCCACAGCATAGGCATTGTTCTGTATCATGACGGAACCTTTTTCTTTTTTCTATTGGAAAACACAAAAATTAATAGAGTGTGGGTTTATCATGCTTCTTAAAAATTTCCAACATGTTTAAATTCTAGAAAAAAAGAGAAGATACTAAAATATGCATCATTATTTGCAGAGAAGAGAAATTAGGAAAAGTAAATTGAGCAGCCAGTAAATCCTAAAATCATTTAGTGAGAAAACTCATAGAGCACAATACAGGCACCATTTTCCCAGAGAACCAATGTTTGTTGTTTACATGGAAAATGAACAGTAGAAAATGCAATTATTAATAAAATTTTCACAATATTGTAATAATATTTTTACTCTTACAAGTCACTCACATATGGTTCTTTAATTAATGAGTGAAGAACTAAGTCAAATGGAAGGATTTTAAGGAAGAGTTATGATCATCGACAATGAATGACTCAAATTTTTCCACGTAGCAGAACTCCACCTTATGGTAAACTTATAAGGTAATATTTTAAGACTGCAAAAAAATGTGACTTAATGGATATAGAAGTCTACAAATTGCTATTGTAATAAAAATATACGAATTCTATCTTTTCAGCTTCCCTAAACCCACCAACCTCTTTCTGTTTTCTTTTGTTTGTTTGTTTTTGTTTTTGTTTTGTTTTGTTTTGTTTTTCGAGACAGGGTTTCTTTGTGTAGCTTTGGAGCCTTTCCTGGAACTCACTCTGTAGACCAGGCTGGCCTCGAACTCACAGAGATCTGCCCGGCTCTGCGTCCCGAGTCCTGGGATTAAAGGGGTGCGCCACGACTGCCCCTTAATGAAGGATCCCCAGTTTCAGTATCAGTAGCTCTTGTCTCAATTACTATCACTTGCTCCAGACAATTCCCCTTTGTGCTCTTCTGGTTTGGCCTAACCCTGTTCAGTCTTTAGCCACTATAGCTACAGGAAGAGCTTTAGGAAACAAATTAGGCCACACTACTCCTGTTCTTGAATCTCTCCAACAGTAGCTCATGGACCATGGAATACAAATAGCACTTTTAAACCATTCCTTCTTTGTGTTCACTACATATGAACCCCTGCGAAATAAATTTAGTTTTCCAAATATTTGCTTGCTAGAGTCCTTCTTTCTACTCACCCAATTTTTCACATGACTAGTTTCCTTTCATATTTTGCCCTGAATTTGAATATCATTTCCATGGAATGCCTTGCCTATACACTAACCCTAAAATAATCTCCCCCCCCACACACACACTTTCACTCTCAGAGTACTTTAATTTGTGTCCACCATAACACTTATTGAAGTATATAAGCACTTTCTTTACCATGTGATTATTTAATTGATATCTGTTCTCACTATACTCTGAATTCACTGAAAGCTGATGATCTATGTCATATTGATCTTTGTAACCTCAGCACATGACATGAAACTTTTCCATAAATATCTTTCATGGGGTAGTTATAGCATATATATATATATATATATATATATATATGCTATAACTACATGTGTGTGTGTGTGTGTGTGTGTGTGTGTGTGTGTGATAAATGGAACCTGAAAATACAAATACTATTTATCGGTTATTATATAATATAAACATATTGTGATTTATCTACATGCCAAAAAATGAGCCAGAAATGAGTTACATAAAAGGATAAAAGATATGAAGCAAGTTCTACTTTAGCCCCATGTTATTAGGTTAGAAATGAGGGCTAAAAGGAAGTTTTATGGTATGACAAGGACACCCATTTATGAAATGGTTGGGGGAAAAGTCACAGCAGTTAGAGGTGACAGCTTTCCAAATTCTGCAATGACATTTTGTCTGAAATTTTTGTTTGGAGTATTTTTTCTATAAAATGCCCTAGTTGAAAATTATATTACTATGCCCACCTTAAAAAAATATTTAACAATACAGGAAATGCATGACACATGGCTCTGTGGTTGTTTAAAATATATCTAAAGTGCACTAAAAAATATGACTGAGCTTAAAGAGCATGAGAACCTTGAGAAAAAGCATTTGGCCACTCTCTGCTCTAGCTTCCGGTTGGATAAAAGGGAGAGATAATGATAAAAACGCCACACTGACTGTCTGTGGTAAACAGTTGAACTAACATGTGCCATACTCATATTATGAAATCATTTCCTCCAAGAGAAGTGGAGTGACATTTGTTACTTATAATAATCTAGACAATGGTCACTGGTAATAGGGTACATAGCCTTTGATTATGATATAATGTATTATGTATTTAGAGAAGACTACAAAAACACTGAATGGAAAGACTCTAGAGTTTCATGGAAATAGGGCATTAAAGTTAAACTAGAAATTGTGGTATGAGTTAAGATAGTTAGCTTATGATATATTTTGTTGCAGTAAGATTACAAATAGAAATGATATTTTAAGTTTGACCAATGATTCTTCTCTCAATTTTAAGTGTATAAAGTTAGTAGTAAAATCAAGAATGAATAAAAAACATATAAAATGTACATGTACATGAATGGCAAATAAACAAAACGCCTATGCCAGTGGTCACTACCCAAATAGCAGTCTGGGTATCTGTGTGGCTTTGTGTTTGCTTTGTCATAATACTGCAGACTCCTTTAAGAAAAAGAAAGAAAAGAGTAGCATTTCTAAAATGGGTTTGAATTTTTTATTGTCTCAACTGTAAAAGAAAAAAGTGAATCTTAGTATATATATATATATATATATATATATATATATATATATATATAAAATATGGCTTTAATAACTAAAGATAAATGCACAAATCTAGAGAAGGGCTAAGCAAGAAACAAATGGCTGACCTGCCATCAAAACACTCTTTTGGAAGTTAGAAACTATACCATTTTCATATCAACAGCAAGGAAAGTCTAACAGTCATACACCCTAGCTCTTGGCATGTGAACTCTAACAAGTTCACTGGATGATGTATAAGACCTCCATATGGTGTTCGGTATCCTCTAATCCTAGCCACAGCATGCACAGCTTTGCTGGCTCATGATATATCTTGTTTAAAGATAATGTTGTTCTTCTCACTGCAGTTGAAAATAATGATGATTCTAAATGCTCTTCTTTGTTTAAAATTAAATATACACAGAGAAATATGTTATTGAGTTGATAGCAAACTTACAACATGAAGATGCATTAGTGAAATTAGATTGTCACTGACTAGAACTCCTCCCTGATGACTAGCTTTCATAGTGATGGAAGATGCTAAGCATCCCAGTGCAGAAGAAATGACATGATGTGTCTCACCCAGCATGGCCCCTATATACTACAACACTAACTTCTCAGACAAGATGATATAAGGGTAACCAGATACTTTCTGATAGGATCTAAAATCTGTAACACAAGAGGGGACTCATACTTGGTATTTAAATTGGGGTTGGCAGGTGAAGAACTCATGGTCCTAGGAGGAGGCTACTACCTTTACTTAGATCAATAATTATACTATCAAACTGACTTCCAAATATACATGTTGATGCCCATAATTGTGTACTGCTCTCAACATTAGAGTTATTACTTTTTGCAGTGGGCAGTGATCAATCCAGAGACACACAGTTGATCAAAATGCTGAGGATAAATGAACATGAGTGCTGACCCATGATTGGGACATCTATATCAATCCCCTCTTCTAAAGCTTGGGTACTAAATATCACATTAGAGGAGGAAAAATAATGTAAGAGCCATTGGAAGGGAGATATCCTGTGAAGTGCTGATTTAAAGACAAGGCATAGCTTTGCACTGTGAGCTCAGGTTCCCTGCAGAAGGTTCGTACATAATCAAGACAATCAAAATTCCAGCACAAATGGGGAAAGGGCTCATGAGGCTCAGTTTCTAGCTGAGGAGCTACTCTGGGTGATGGTCCTTGGAGAAGGGAGATCTATGTCTCCTTGAGAGTGTGGTCACTGGTAGCTTGCTCATGCTGTAGTGTTTAACCTCATACACATACACATAGGGCAGCAACAATTAGACACAGGATATAAACAACATAAAATTTGAGTGACATCCAGTTCAGAGGGAATGTGGGGGCATTTCTAGTGGAAATTAGAGGGAGATAAGGGATGGTTATGATCAAATACATATTATAATGTGTGTCTTTTACAAATAATTAACAAAAACACTATAAAATTATTTTGGAAGTACAATATATAATGTATACTACATTTACCATTCTCTTTTCATTATTTTTAAGAAATAAAATAATTATATATATTATTTATGTGTATATATATATATTACCTTGCCTGGTTCAATATTGACTTCTATTAACAAGAATAGAGCTGAGATAAACATTATTATAAGGAGATATTTGAATATTATTCAGGCTGTGAATCAAGATAGACCACAATGGAATATTTCTGTATTTCATGATACACTGACCTCTCTCAGCTGTATTTACTTTGGTGTTTAATTCTTGGCTTATACCTACATATACACTTGAAGAGAAATCATCAAATAAAACTTGTTGTGCTAACTGTACTAAAAAGAACTCATTGCCATGAAGGCATTCTGTGATATTTCTGTATTGTTTTGAATCTTGAAAAAAACTAGAAAATTTCTCATTCTTCCTACTACTTATTTCCCTATAGGCTAACTTAACATGTTTTTTTCAATATTCAGGCATGGAGTAAGTCATTCTCTGTCACTTGGAGAGCTATAGCAGCAAACAGAGTGATACAAATCCAGGCTAAATAACAGAAGCAAACTTCTAAAAATGTAACATTACAATTAAAAATGGACTCATCTAGAAAGAGAATTATGAAAACAAAGGCAAGTAAACAGTGTTATATTTTACTAATTTAAAGAAATTATTGGTATATATATATATATATTATATATATATATATATATATATATATATATATATATATATATGACCAATAAGAAGAAATCCTCTCTACAGCACTCAACCCATCTATTTCACCATATTTTTGTTTTTGTTTGTGTCTTTTCATAATTAAAACAGAAATCATTCGAAAATAAGCTCAGCTTAAAAGTCTCCATTTGCTGTTCATGCACATTCCTTAGCCTGTGAATGGTGCCACATTTCAGTCATGATCTCATAATTAACATGTATTGGTCCTTAAGTCTGATACACTGGAGTTTGTACCATTGTTATATTAGTAGTGACTGAGCTTTGAGTCACACTCAGTGAGGCATCACTTCCTACTGTTTGCCTTAAGTGGCCTTGCCATGTCTTACCATAGCCTTATGACACTAGTTGCTGTAATAACACATACATGATCTTTTTCCATTGTTTTTCATTTAACTGTAAGCAGATTGAAAACAGAATGTCCTGCAGGGATCCTAGCATAGTTGCTGGCCCAAAGCTGACTCAGAAATGCTTTTCAAGATGGAAGGATTCTATTAAAAAACAAGTTTAAATAATTCTTTAAATGTAATGTAAAGTAATCTGCTTTATAAGACAAAAGAAATACTTTGTTAGATAGGAATAAAAGCAACTGCATATTCACAATTCTACTACATTATTATCTCAAGGGACACAATTTCACAATGTAGAGCTGTGGAAGACTAGACATTGAACAAGTAGCCTCAACTTATATGTGGTGCTGGGCAAGATGTGTTTGGGTGGTATATAAAGTAATAATGGGTCAGGGGTGGTGCTTTTGATCAGTGAACAAATAGTACATTTTTATATAGATCTTGGTAAAAAACAATAAACTATCACATTGTTATACAGTATGTTGATAGCTCAGTTGTCAGTGAAGTAAAATGAAACAAATGAAGAATGTAACAAAGCTCATCACTGTAGGGGATGGACAGAAACTCTCCTATATACCTCTTGTTGGTTTGCTCCTGCCACAGTGAATGGTCACACACTCATGTGAAAATAGGCAGCACTAATTGGATGCAAGTGATAATTAATAGCAAAATTAAGCAAAGAGAGAACACGAATCTAGGAGAAAGACAGGGTAGGTATACTGAAGGAGTAGGAGGGAGATGGTGATCAATGGATAAGATCAATTTATGTGCAAGGAACTTTCAAATAATAAAAATATTAGTAAAAATATATTTGATAAGACTCAACATATATTGATTTTGTTACATTATTGGGAATTGTTGATACAATTCAGATCTAGAAGAATTTTGATTGCTGAATCCAAAGGTTTTTACATAATTGTTTATACACTTGACATCCTTTATGGGGCAGAGAAGTAACATACTAGCAAATTTAAAAAATCATCTACCTTGGGCATTGGTGGCGCACTCCTTTAATCCCAGCACTTGGGAGGCAGAGCCAGGCGGATCTCTGTGAGTTCGAGGCCAGCCTGGGCTACCAAGTGAGCTCCAGGAAAGGTGCAAAGCTACACAGAGAAACCCTGTTTCAAAAAACCAAAAAAAAAAATCATCTACCTAAATATGGGCACCAATCAGAAGATGTGTCATATGAATGAATATAACTATTGTGGTTGCAGAAATTGGCCCTTATAGGAGGCATGTGAGAACTCCTATCAAATAGTCAATGTAACAGGCCCTGGAGGAAAAACCAAGGTTTCTATAGGCAAATATATGCTCTTTTTACAATGCCATATGGTCATTTTACAGTTTTTTTTTTAAATGACCATTGGAAAGTCCAGTACTTGAAGAACAGCAACATGCTCCCTGGCCAGATAGTACTACCATTAACTGACTAACCATCCTGACTGAGAAAAATTATACTTACAGAAGAGTGTGTGAAGATTAAACAGTCCATCCGCTTCTGTAAGTACTCTAAAGGCTTTGCTTGGCTTAAACTGGACCATGAGAAAGCTATATACTTGGACCATATTAGTTTAGCTCCTTGAAGAAATGCCTTCACTGAGTTGTGTGTGAATATAATGCCTTCAGCTTTTATTGAAGGGGACTACAAGAAACATTAATATGAAATTCATTACAGCATTTATTGTGAAAAAATGACATCACTTGATATAGTACCCAGCTCACCCTAACATAATAGCAACAGAAATTTTTTCTTTATGAAAATTTACCTTTTCTCTTTTTTTAATTCAAAACATAGTGCCCCAAACAGAGCTAGAAATTTGCTGAGTAATAACTTTAGAATGTTAAGTATAACTACAACTGTGAATTGTTGCCAGTGGGCCAGCTATTACAGAATACTTAAACCTAATTTTCTTCTGTTCTTATTTCTCTACTTCTACTTTATAATTTTAATATATTATAATTTGATTACATAGTTTTTTAATAAGTTACCTGAAATTATTTTGGAATAAGACAATGTCAAAACTGCAAACAAGGGACTGGAGAGATGACTCAGCAATTAAGAGCATTGGCTGCTGTTTCAGAAGACATGGGTTCAATTCCCAGCACCCATGTTGCAGCTCACAACCATCTGTAACTCCAGTTCTAGGAGATCTGATGCCTTCTTCTGGCCTCCATGGGCACCAGGCACCCTTGGCACACAGACATACATGTAGACAAAACATCCATATACAAAATAAGATAAAAATTTAAATTTATAAATGAAAATAAATGAATAAATACACTTTAAAATGTGGTGTTATCTACAAATTAATAGAATGAATCAAAGAACAATGGTTCATTCCATAAGTTTGGGTATTATATCTTTATAGCTGTATTTTGTGTGATTTATTATCTTGTGTATTCTCTGATTTTTTTTTTTGGCCAGTTTGAGCTTAGTTTATAAGTTTATAAGTGAAAAACAATTCAGAGAATTGAATTAAAGCTAACAATGCTTGAAAAGAGAGCTAAGGTCAATTATGTGCTAGACAGTATGCTAGGTGACAAAAGACACAATAGTTAATAAGACAAACCATAATTCTCCCATTTTCTAATCTAGTGGTAAAAATAATTATTTATAATAAAACTATAATTTAGGGAAACTGATAGAAATCAAATTACTGCCTAGTGCTCTGGAAAATCAGAGGGGTTAAATTTATTTATGGAAGTCTGCAAGACTTTATTTTCCTCAATTTGGAGTCAAAGAAAGAAAGAGGATATTACACCAAGAAGATGCAGCATGGTAAATACTAGAGACATGACAAGCCATAAGATTTTGAGGGAAATGACTGTGAGTTGTAACAGGTTAAAGCTGAATATGCGCACCAACCCTGGATAGCGTGTACTTCAGATTCAACACTTGTAAAATGTGTGTCCATAACCAAATCATTTTACTAAAATAACCCTCAGCCTTAAACTAAAGACATTTACAGGCTTGTAAGAATAAATGCACAATACTTTTAGAAAATTCTACCTATCACTCATCATGCAAGGAAACCACATATTTCGACCATATTAGCCTTGAATTACTATCTTAGGTAACTCATCATAGAGCTGAAAAGTTAAATGATTTGCATTGTGTTTTAGGTAACTTTAAGAGATCAATGTGTGTTAAAGAAAAACTTGATTAAAGGCAGGAAGCAGTAAATAATTTGTAAAATAATAGTGAGATACATCATGAGGTTTGTAGGAAGGATAATTAGCATGAGTCAATATGACAGATCCTGAGAAATATCTATTTGTTGGAATGTGACATTATGCCATGTTCCTGACTGAAGTATCAATTTCTGATAAGTACCTAGACATGAGCATAGAAAAGGTCAAAAGTAGATTAGGTTTCATTTTCTTTGCTTTGCTATTCTTTCTTTTTCTTTGTCTTTTTTTTTCTTGTGTGTGTGGGGGGGGTGTAAAGAGACTGCTAATATCCATGCTTATTAATGATTACATTATTGCCCATTAATAATAATTTTACAGACACCACCGTTGCACACTAACACTAGGTTTTCCAGTGCCTGAGAACACCTAAGTGATTCTGAGCTGAAGTTACTGGTGCCATTTCATTGTTAAGAACATTGAGTCAAGAGACTTTCCCACAGGGTACAAACAGTTCACCAGACACATACCAGAAGCAGCTACTCTGACCCAACTTTCTACATTATTTACTTTTTAATTAAAGCATTTTAGTTCATTCATTAATTAATTTTATGTGTCTGAGTGTTTGCCCTGCTTGTATGCAGGTATACTGACTATGTTTTCAGTGCCTGAGGAGGGCACATGAGGGTGTCAACCCCCCTGCCATTACAGGTACAGAGAGTTGTCAGTAAACATGTGGGTGCTGGGAATCCAATTCTCCTCTGGAAGAGCAGCCAGTGTTTTTAACTGCTGAGCCAACTCTCAAGCCCCAATCCTTGACATTTTATCACAAAATTTGTAAATGACTAGAAATATTTCAGCACAGGCAGTTCTCAAAGGTTGCAATGTTAAAGTCAGATGGGAACAACTAGGAAATAAGATGGATATGTGTGTGTATGATAGTCATATATATACACATGATGGGTAGATACATATGATGAACACATATATATGATGGATATATATATATATATATATATATATATATATATATATATATATATATATATATATATACTGGGAGATAAAAGGAAGATGTAGTTTATAATACAGATATGATGTTGAACTGTAAGACAAGAATATTGGTTATAGATCATTGAATTGGCAATACTTCAATAATTCAGGCCATATTTACTGAATATGTATAATATGTAAGATACTGTGCAACTGACCAGAAGTAAATGATTTATTAAAATAACAAAGCTGTCATTATAATGATTGGCAGACTTAAATTACAACCATTCTTTCACAAAGAATGATAAAGTATTTCCAAAAATCAAGAAAGCATACATACTTATACTTTTAACGGGACTCAATAATATTGGAAAGAAGTACTCAGAAATGACATCAAAAACTGAAATTGGTGTCAACAACAAGCAAGAATTATGTGATTTGTAACAGCAAATGAATCTTGCAAATATTCCCAGTATAACCTGGAATTTGAGAACCACATTGCAAACAATAAGACACAAGCAAAAGCATCTAAGAAGGCCGACTTGGCTTTGTCTGGGGAACATGAGCATGCCAGAGAAGCTCGATGCATCTGACTCTGGCACAGGACTTCACAGGATGGAATGAATTGTGGCAGCTGCCAGAGTGTGAGCAAAGGATGCTGACATTACTGAAGCATTTCTTAATGAAAAGAGAAAATGTTGCACAGTTGAACCCAAGACAGTGTCTTCAACATAGCAGCAGAAGGCTCAGTGAGGATCCCAAGGGGAAGTGGAAAAACTCACATGCTATATTAAGTTAGGGAATGCCAGTTACAGGGCAGTGAAGGGAAGAAACTCGGCACAGAGGACTAAGAACTGAAGGAAAAGAATATGACAGGGGAGAACTCATTTCACAGAGCTTGGGTGGTAAAAGGACAGTGGACTCAGGGGATCGGGATGGAGAGAAACAATGATGTAAGATCTGGGTGATCCTCCTTTGCTTTTATGGCAAGTTAGCTAAGCCTCTTCACGGGAAAATATGAATGAGGTAGTAAAATAGCAAAAGGTCATTTCTAAGAATTAAAGCAAGAAAGTAACAAGGGGTGGAATAAGTCTGAGAAAGCACCAGAGGCTTAAGCAACAGAAGTGGAAGCCCAGTTAGGGGCTAGAGAATGGCCACAAGGCATAGGGTCTTTTAGAAGTACTTGGGGGCTCTTGTGTCCTTTTAGAATTTGACTCTTTGATACACTTTTAAGAATGAAATTTTCTTTGCTCATGTCACAACTGAGGCTAGCATAGTATAAAGGCTCTTCAAGACCCTAGGGTTCAAAAGTAGCTGAAGCATAAATGTATGGCTTTGTTAACTATTTTTTAATAAAAATCTTAAATATCATTTGTTCACAATCTTGTATGTAAAGTCTAGAGTCTAGATAGATTAAATTTAAGTACACATTTCTTGTTTTTCAACACACAGTGTGGACATATATCTCTAAGTTTTTTTTTATGTGTCAAGTTAATACTCTGTATTTTAATAAAACATTTAAGGGCGCTAGATGTTCTTTGTGTTGACTGAGAATAGGACTTTAGTCACTTATATTTATAAATACTCAAAGCAAAAGGACTACCTATGGGCAACTGATTGTAAAAGGACAAAAAATTCTGTATGTCAAGAAAACCCTTATCAGCCTAAAAATCAAATCTAATTAAATTAAAGCAGAAGGCAGGATTTAGTGAAATGTCTGTGGGCAGCTAGTCACCTCTTAGCACTGGACTTGATTTTCTTTCATCTCTAAATACCTCCTTATTTTCAGAGTAAGTTAAGGGAATATAGCTCTAATTTCATTTTAATAAAGAAATTGGATAAAGTACACATGTAAACACAGCATTATAAAGTTGTTTAACACATTTCAGTTAAGATAAATAGGCTCTCTCATTGGTGTATTACCATATTTATAATAAATATAATTTACCCAACAACAACTTTGAAACTAGGTGCACCATCCTAGTCACACCCCGTCTACGGAAAAAGTATATGTATAACCAATATAGTTAAAGAGAAGTAATCACATAAATAAAATGAAAAGTAATTCACTATGTGGGGAATGAAAAAACAAAAATCAACAATAAAATGTAATGGAAATGCTGGAATCAACCAGAAGTTAGGCATAGAAAATTGATTAAGTCCCTTTCAATATCATCACCACTTCTGTTAGTAGATAAATGTCATGTACAAATAAACTAACAACTATAATTAGAATTTCTATAGCTTATAAATGAGAAAAAAGAACAAGTGTTTTAAACTGTAACATTCAAGCTTTGTGTCATTAAACTGTAACAAGGTATAGAAATGAAATATGTATATATATTCAAATAACTAAAACAAAAATCAAATCACAACGAAGGTGTACAAAATTTTATGGGAAAAATCATATAATAAAGTGTTCAAAGAAACTGTCAGAATATTCTACCACTACTAAAATTATTACAGCATGTTAGATTATAGTCTTTTCCTAAAGCAAATATCAATTTATAAAATTAGAAATAAAACCATTGATATATCTATACACAAATATCTCATTAGCCTCAATACTTGAGACATGAAAATGTATGTGTCAATAATCTTAAAAATAATATTAAAAGTTAGTTTTCCCCAATTAGACCCCATGAGCAATTTAAAAATCCTTGGGTATTTCAGTTTCCACGTATTTGCTTCATATGGTATCAGAAAGATAAAGTGCTACCTTCACTCTTACAAAGTAGTATAGAAATACGGATGGCTGAAGAGTCATTGACCCACTGTCAGAGCCACAAATTCTTCAATAGGTGAAATTAATGCTCACTTTCTTTTCAAAGCTCTATCCTAATGTTTCATGATAGATTAAATGCATGGATTTTATGGGTAGACAGACCTGGGTTCCAGTACACTTATTGGTCAATTATATGAGCTGGAGCCAATAAACAGTTATAATGAGCTTGACATACTTCACTATGGAAGACTAGAATTAAGAAGATACACTTCTTACTGTAAATTTGAGAGAGAGCATGTGTGAAAACGCAACACTGTTGGATACAGAACCCCACAGATGCTGAGGAGTGGTTTTAAGAAGTGTCACCATTACGAGCACTTTAAGAGGATTTCAAGCAAGAACAAACTTTTGAAAGTTGATACCGAATTTCTCAATATCAAATTTTAGGAAGAACTCTGCCACAAGCTTGAATGTATGCAAAATTCTCTTCAGTAGATGAGCAGCGAGCTCACACTTACCTTGTCATTTACTACACTCTTCCCATCCCAAGCCCATCCTCTTTTGGTGAAGTAATTCACAGTCGCAAATTCAATTAGGGCCGAGAACACAAATGCGTAACAAACGGCAATAAACCAGTCCATGGCGGTGGCATAAGCCACTTTGGGGAGAGAATTTCGAGCACTGATGCTGAGTGTCGTCATGGTGAGAACAGTTGTCACTCCTGTAAAAGATAAGGAACAGGAGCACAGTCAGTGGCGGGAAGAGAGAGTATCCCAACGTTGTTCTTTTCCTTCTCTGGAAGCTATTTTGTTATTCCTACCCACGAGAAAGTATTAGCAAAGAGTTCAAGTGGGCTATACTTAGTATGACAGTATGGTAATACTTCTGGAAATAGAGACACCAAACGGAGCCTGGAAGTGTCTTCCTTTTTTCACTTTCTTCTGCATTGATTCCATTTTCTCTTAGTACCGTTGATATTTAAAAAGACTGGTAGTAGTGTGGCACTGTTAGGTATGACAGAACACAGGCACTGTAGAGTGACCTGTTACTCATCAGCATTAACATAAGAACTCATCGACAATACCTCATAATAACATTGATTTGTTTTATTTAGATGAATCATGCGAAACCACCTGAGCAAACCCTCACACTAATTACAGTGGGAATATGATTGAGAAGTGATTAACATGTTTTCTTTTATTTAAGTAATGCTGTGTATGTATGGAATTAACTCTGGTTTTGAAGAGGTCTGATCTCTTTTGTAACATTACACAAATTTGGTTAGAAATAAAGCAAACTGCTAGGAACAAAACTTGTAAAATAAAAATCTGCATTTGAAAAGAATTATAAAGTCCCATTTGAAGATGAAAAAAATACATGAAATTATCTGTTGTAGAAAGAGAGAGAATATCTTCTCCAGGGAAAAGCTCCTGTTAGCCAATCCAGTCTTAAGTGGTCAGTTCTAATCACAAATACATATAAACAACACTAAGTGGAGTCAATAGGCTGTCTGTCTTTATGTATATGTAGCAATGTTTAAAGAAAAATTCATAAATTTGAGAGCAAATGGAGGACACAGGAGGATTTTAAAAGGTAAAAGGGAGAGGTAAATGATGTAATTGTAGTATCCATATGTGAGGAGCCGTTTTAAATTTTCAAATTAAAGGATATTTGATACATTTTGCGCCCCCCCCCCAAAATATATATAATTCCTTTCTAGTGCCAAACAACTCACATTTATAAGAAAAAAGAAGGTGTTAAGTGAGGCAGGAAGCTATAGCACCAGCTATTAAAGGCTACAATCAACTGAAGGTCCCACAGAGGCTTAATTGCATGCATGGGGGATATACAAAAGATAAAGAAAGTAAATGGCTTAAGGATGTTGCTCAGCAATGGTGTAGTCACCCAGCTTGGATGAGGCCATAGTTCTAATCAACAGCATCAAAAAAAAAGTAAAAAAATGTGTTAGGTGGTTTTATGTCAATTTGATACAAGCTAAAGTCATTTGACCGAAGGGAACCTCAATTAAGAAAAAATCTCCATGAGATTTGTCTGTTTGCAAACCTTTAAGGTATTTTTTTTTTTTGATTAGTGATTGATGGGTGAGTACCCAGCCCATTGAGGGTGGTGCTATACCTAGGCTGGTTGTCCAGGGTTTTATAAGAAAACAGGCTGAGCAAGCTATGAATAGCAAATCAGTAAGACTCAACCCTCCATGGCCTCTGCATCAGTTCCTGCCTCCAGATTCCCTCCCTGTTTGAGTTCCTGTCCTGATTTCCTTCAGTGATGAACAGTGATGGAAGTGTAAGTCAAAGAAACCCTTTCCTCCCCAAATAGCTTTGGTCATAGTGCTTCCTCACACCAATAGTAACCCTAACCAAGACAAAGGAAATAGACTCCACTTTAGATAATTTGAAGATCTGAGGGCTATTTTATGTTTCACTTTCCCTTGGGATAAGGCAGCATTGGCCTCTCATGTAAAATAAAATCACTAGCAAAAAGTAACAATTATTCCATTCAGTTATGAGTGAATCCAGAGAATATGGTGGTGACTGCGGAAATAAAAGGTTGGAAAATAAACTGATCTCACCTGCTGTTGAGCCATATTAAAAACACTCATAATTCCAGCAAGATGGCTCAGCTCATAAAGGCACTTGTCATCAAGGCTGATGATTACCTGTGTTCAATCTCTGGGATTCATGGTTGAAGAAGAGAATAAATTCTCACAAATTGTCTTCAACTTCCACATGCACACACACACACACACACACACACACACACACACACACACACACACTAAGTAAAAGTAATTAAAGGGCTTTTAAAAAGTGTGAAAAACATTAAAAAATACTTTTGCAATAGATATAAATGATGTTTAATGCACCATATTGAAAGGTTTTATACTGACGGATATTTTCTTTCCATATTTTTGTTCAAATGGACAAATGGATACATCCAAATGTATAACTGTGTGTATTCATATGACTACAATACAATAAGCAAGAATGAAAAGACATTCTGCCTACAAGAATTCCTTTTGTTTTGCTTTGTGACTCATTGAATTTAACCAGGCTATTTGTGTGACTACGGATATGAAAGTATCCCTTAGAACATGGTGGTTTACTCAGTAGCTATCTAACTGAAAAGAAGGTTGCTCCTCCCACAGAATCTACTAGCAGCTACTAGGTTACAGTGCACACATCTTTCAAACCTTTGATTTGCTTACTGGTTTTTCATTTACTTCTTTGCTAATACAAATGTAATGATTTTAACATTATTTAAATTATTCACTGGTGGCATAACAGAAACAAAACTGCATTTTCATTTTGTACTCTAAAAATTTGATGAATATCTTTAATAGCTCTAATATTTTATGTTGTTTATTTACAGATGTCATTTATATATAAAATTATATTATAAGCAAATACAGTTTTACTTCTTTTCTTCCATTTTGCATGCCTTTTGCTTTTCTTCTCTAATTTTCCTATTAAGAAACAGTATAATATTTAAGCAATTAGTAAAAATAGAAATGTCTTCTTTATAATATTAAAAAGAAAAGATTTGTCCTTTTCCTATAAATACATGTTATCTGTAGTTTTTGTTAGATGCTTTATAAAAGGCTGAAGAAATTCTCTGCTATTGCAGGTTTTTTTTATGACATTTTTATAATGAAAACATTTTTATTTTGTTAAAAGTTACTTATCTACTGAGATAATAGGAGTTTTTTTCCCCAATTGCCAGTAATAATCTTCATTGTAATGGCTGAGTTTTATGGCAAGCCAACCTTGCATTCCTATGATAAATTGTAGCCAGAATGCTGAATTATTTTAAAACATGCCTGGTTCAGTTTTCTTGTATTCTGCTAAGAGAATTATACCTAAATTCTCAAAGATTCTGTGTGTTGGTTTGTTTTTCCTTGTTTTATTTTGTTCTGTTGATAATGTACCTATATACCTGTATATAGAATGAAACAGGGAGTTTCTGAATGATTAATGGCAATCCTTCATTATTTGGTAGAACCCACTAGAGATGCCATTTGACACTGAACTTGGCTTGGTTGGAAGTTTTTCATCCCAAAGCTGATAGCTTTATTTACTATAAGTTTGTTTATGGTACTACATGAATTTGAGCAACTATTTTTTTTTCTAGAAATTGGCTCATTTGAAGTTTCCAAACTGTCAGCATACAACAGTTAGCAAAATAATCATGTGACTTGCATTTTTTCCTATATTCACTAGTAATATCCCCCTTACACAAAGAGGCACACACACGAGAGAGAGAGAGAGAGAGAGAGAGAGAGAGAGAGAGAGAGAGAGAGAGAGAGAGAGA